ATTCTCAATATTATTTTGTATTAGTTTTGGGCCTGTTGCTTTTTCTGAGCATCTCACACTAACTCTTTTGAAAGATGAAACAGTGAAGAGCTGACATTTCACGTTGGATGTAAAATTGGGCTTGTTTACTAACACCATCTCATTCCATTGTCATTACATTTGTCAGGTGTTACAACCCCATTTGCAGTTGAGGCTACTTTTTATTAAGTAGCTCTAAGGCAGCGGTTCTCAACCTGTGCGTCGCGACCCCTCTGGCAGTAGAAGGACCCTTTCACAGGGGTCGCCTAAGACCATCGGAAAACACATATATAATTACATATTGTTTTTGTGATTAATCACTATGCTTTAATTATGTTCAATTCGTAACAATGAAAATACATCCTGCATATCAGATATTTACATTACGATTCGTAACAGTAGCAAAATTACAGTTATGAAGTAGCAACAAAAATAATTTTATGGTAGGGGGTCACCACAGCATGAGGAACTGTATTAAAGGGTCGCGGCATTAGGAAGGTTGAGAACCACTGCCTTAAAGGCTAGGTAGCTTTTGAACAACCGGTGTGAAGAATCAGGAAAAAGCACCCCAGGCCAGGGGAGGGGTGCCACACACACTGTCCAAAGGGAGAGCTCGGGGAATACAGAAGCAGCAAACACTGTGAACAGCAAATGATGAGAACGTCAGCTGGGCCTCTTTCCGTTATCTCGGAAGTCAAAATCGCTATGCAGCTCAGCTCCGGGGTTTGGCTTCCAGCTCTAACTTGCCCCGCCTTTGCCCTTTACCTAGCGCTTCCTTCCTCCCTTCACTCAGCTCCGCCCCCGCCAACAAGCCTCCAAAAGCTCCCATTGGTTCGCCCATCTCCATAGGCTCCGCCCCCTCCACGCTACGCTCTGGTTTCCGTTCCCCCGGCGCACCTGGCGTAGGCGGCCAATCCCGACGTACCGAGGCGGGGCAATCGAGCAACCGGAAGCAGCCTCTCTTTCCTGGTATCCCACTGCCTTGTGGGATAGTGGAGGGTTCCTCTGGCCCCGGCAAGTTTTACGTATTCCTCCCCCGCGCCTCCCTCGTCAAGTACGGAAGCTGACAGGGTCCGCGGACGGCGATGGCGGCGCACCTTAAGAAGCGGGTGTACGAGGAGTTCACTAAGGTGGTTCAGGTAAGCTCCAGAAGGAAAGGTCCCCCGACGGGTCGTAGGTAGGGGGAAGGTCACCCACGCCCCAGGCACCTTTGCAGAACTGGCGCCACGAACTTGAGTTGAGCGCGGACTACTTTGATAGGCTCTTTGCGACTACACTTTAGTGGGCGTGTTCGCTTGCCGCTTCCGTTGTCACGATGATGAATTCCTATGTGCAGTCTGGTACTTAAAAAAAAATTATTAGCTAGAGACAAAAACCGCTTTTACAATTTATGAGAACGTCTTTTTTCGTTATCTTATTCTGTTCAGGTTACATTAGCATCCTCGTTTTACAGATGGGTACTTAGAAGCTTCCCAAGGGGTACCAGGGCACAGAAACAATTAGTGGTGGAGTCCCCCATCCCAACTCCGTTACAAAAAAAAAACCCACAAAAAAGCGCCCTGGGCGAATTGGCTGTATGCAAAGCTCTTAGGGGGCTGGAAGAGAAATCTGTAGGAATCCTCAAGGCCCAGTCAGAGCCGGCGGGGGTCACAGGCCTCAGAGCGCTGGGACTCTCCGCCGATGGGGCAGCTCACGCGGGAAGGAGGGCAGTGCCTTCCTCCTCTGGACTGGCTTAAGGACTGCCGGCCCAGCCTCTGTCCGAGAAGCCGGGGATTCTCCACGTGTCTCCTCGCAGAAGACGCTGAAGTAGAGGTTGAGACCAAGTCATCCCCTGTGTCACGCTTCACATCACCCGGGGGATCTCATTAAAATGTAGATACTACTCAGTCAGTCCGGCGGGGGAAGTGAGGCAATAGCCTGTCTTGCTGACAAGCCCCCAGTGGATGCCGGTGAATAAACAGCATCCTTGGAGCCACAGATCACAGTTAGATCCGTCTCCTTGTAGAGCAGCAAGACAGACCACCCCGCAGGAAACTGATCCTTAAACACTTCATTCATTCCCTCAACAAGAGTCTGTTGAGGGAACGAGTGGCTACTATGCATCAGCTATAGTAAAAGTTGTTGCGCTACCATGTCCGATGCATGTTAGGGTCCCCGTCCTTTAGGAACTCACAGGCTAGTGGGAGAGAGAACAGCATATATGGGATTTACACCCCACAGAGATCGTTGCACTGACAAATCAAGCCTTCTTCTTCAGCTCCTCTTTTCCATAAAAACTCCCTAGCCCTTCATGACTTGACAGTATTCCTTCTTTCCTTTTTGTTTTGTGGACTCATCTTTGTAGCATATTCCCATTGACTGAAGGCAAAGTAATTTACTCCTTATTATTGTTTTTTTTTTTCTTAAAATAACCTTGAGATTTAGCCTTGATACCTTTTTCGCTCCATTTTATATGAAATTAGTTTTCCTAAACTTTTAATTTGAGCTAAGATTAAGGAAAGCTTTTCTAACTTTACAGAGCTTCCTCTTCTGTGGCTTGCTTTCTGGAATTTTCTTGCTCTGTTTCCCTTGCCCACTTTAAAAAAAATTGTGGTAAAGTATACATAACATAAAATTTACCATTTTTACCAGCTTAGTGGTATCAAGTACATTCATATTGTGCAGTGTCACTTTCTTTCCAACATTCTGTTCTCATTTATCAAGACTGCTCAGCTCTCCTCCAGCATGCCATGTGTTTGTCCATATCCAAACTTTTGTACCTATTATCTCTTTTACATGGAGTAGTTATCATTCTTCCCTTTTTCTTCTCTACCCAGTGCACTTATATTTTTGCTCTAAAACCCACTTGAAACCTCAGCAAGAATGTAGTTTCTTTCTCCTCTGCTTCTATGGTACTCTGCTATGTTCACCCATTTGCACGTATCACTCAGTGCTACTATAATTACCAATGTGCATATCTTCCCACCTGTCTGAGCTCTTTGAGAGCAGAGATAATGTTTAGTTTATCTCTGTAGCTCCTGAAAAGACCATAGAGCCTGGCTCACTAAAATGTTATTGATGGTTGATCAATATTAGATATTGGTTTGTCCTCCCTTTATATACTCTCTAGGGAATAAATATTTCCCAACTTTTGGCCTAACTGCAGCCCAGATAACATAAAATTCTAGACAGGTGACGCTCCTGAGTTAAACCCTATTTTCTCTCTGTAGGCAAACTATTAACAGACTAGAGGCCCAGTACACAACATTCATGCACTGGTGAAGGGGGTGGTCCCCTCAGCCCGGCCTGCACCCTCTCGCAGTCCAGGATCCCTTGGGGGATGTCCGCCTGCTGGCTTAGGCCCACTCCCCAGCAGGCGGACATCCCCTAAGGGGTCCTTAGCCCTGCCACTGCTATGCTCGCCAGCTGTGAGCCCGGCTTCTGGCTGAGCGGTGCTCCCCCTGTGGGAGTGCACTGACCACCAGGGGGCAGTTCCTGCATTGAGAGTCTGCCCACTGGTGGTCATTGCACATCATAGCAACCAGTTGTTCCTCTGTTCGGTCAATTTGCATATTAGCCTTTTATTATATAGGATAAGGGAACATTATTTCCATCAAATGAGGTGAAGTAAAATTGTAGATTTTGTGTTTTCATGTCTTAACTTTCTTACCTCTTTGCAGCAACAGGAGGAAATTACTACTAAGAAACTCCGACTAACAAAACCAAGTAAATCTGCAGCACTCCACATAGATCTATGTAAAGCTACCTCTCCAGCAGATGCTTTGCAGTACCTACTTCAGTTTGCCAGGAAGCCTGTTGAGGCAGAAAGTGTGGAAGGAGTAGTCAGGATTCTCTTGGAACATTATTATAAGGTGAGATGGTCTTGTGGACTGATGGGAGATGTATAAGGGTTGTATCATCTCTGCAGAATGGGTTAATGTTGCAAAATAAACAAGAAGGCATTCATTCAGCCATCTTTTACTGTCTTTCATGTACTAAGCACTGTGGATAGAGAGAAAAAAAAAGACATAAATCCTGTCCTCAGAAGTTTACAATATTTAGAGCTCCTGGTTGAGACGGGTTTCTGTTGGCTTCTCCAGACTTCCCCTTCCTCTACCATAGAACTCAGCACCCTGGGTGGTCATTGGGTAAATACTGATATGCCTGCCTCCAGTGCTCTCGTCCAGTCTACTCACATGCTGCGCCAAATATTCATCTCTGAGATTAAACATACATATTTTGCCAAGTTTGCTCCCTCTGTTTTTCTGAAGTTTTTAAAATATCATTAGATTTTTGCCTAAATAATTCAGTTAATATTTCTTAAAAAAGGACTATAAAAAAAACAACCAGAATCACCTAATCACATCAAGTAGAATTAAATAATTTTTAATGTAATTTGGCCCATATTGATATTTCTTTAGTTCCCAAAATATCTTTTTAAAGTTGACTAGAGGCTCGTGCATGGGTAAGGTCTCTAGGCTTGGCTGGTGATCAGGGCCAATTGGGGTCTTCTAACTGCCCTCTGGGGCCTCCCTTCCCTGGCTGCCAGCTGCCAGCTGGGGCCTTCCTTTGCTCCACACTGTCCTCTGGTGGTCAGCACACGTCATAGCTAGTGGTCCAACTCCTGGTCTCCCAGTCGAACTCCCAAGGGGACACTTTGCATATTAGCCTTTTATATATATAGATTCACTCAAATCAAAATGTAAACAATGTCTATATATGGCATTTGCTCTTTTTTAAATCTAGAAGAATTTTTTTATTTTGTTGACATGTTGTTTGTAAAATGTCTTGTTTTCTGAATTTGTTTCCTTCTTTGGGGATTAACTTGCTCTTCTACCCCCTGTATTTACTGTGAACTAAAAATTAGATCTATTTGTTAGATTCAGGGTAAGTATATTTTTGAAAGTTTTAAGAATACTTTGTAGATGATTTGTGTTTCATTTTGCATCTGCCAGGATACATATAATGTGTTGAAGTCCCACCTTGCAAAAGCTTCTTATCTTTTTCCCTTCAGTCTCTTTTCTTTCCATAAACTATCTTTATTTAAATCTTTCATGTCTGACATAGAAAGGTCCTTTTCTTTACGTATATAACATTCTAGCTCGATCAAAATACTTGCGGTGTGTCTTTTCACATGCTGTTCCCTCAGCTCAGAACCCCTGTCCCAGTCCCTGCCACTGCCCTCTAATCTGGTCTGTCATTTTCCCTGCCAAGCATATTCTTTCCTCAGAGTCTTACACTTACGTTTTCTTCTACCAGGAACACTTCCCTTACATGTTCGCTGCTTCCCACACTTCATTCAAGTCTTTATGCTCAGATGCTACTTTTTCATTGTTCCTTTATCCCTTTATTTAAAATTAAAACTGCCTATCCATCCTACACTTCTTAGCTTCCTTCCTTGATTTTGTTTTCTCTATAGCACTTATCATATTTTAATATACTATACTAGAGGCCCGGTCCTTAGAGCTGCCACGGAGGTGGGAGAGGCTCCTGCCACTGCCACTGGGCTCGCCAGCTGTGAGCCCGGCTTCTGGATGAGTGGTGCTCCCCCTGTGGGAGTGCACTGACCACCAGGGCAGCTCCTGTGTTGAGCGTCTGCTCCCGGGGGGGGTAACATTTTTATCCTGTGTTGAGCGTCTGCTCCCGGGGGGGTCTGCTCCCGGGGGGTAACATTTTTGTTTTGTTTTAATATAATGTGTGGTGAAATAAATATTTGTTGAATGAATGCTTTTTGACACTTTTTACTCAATTTTAAAAAATGCTTATTATATACCAGGCATTGTTCTGGGCACTGGACTGTGTCCTATTAGCATATTTAATTAGTTCTTGGTATTGCATTGTATGTCATGTGTGTCTATCTCCTTCAGACTTTGAGCCTCTAAATTCAGAGACTACAAATTTATTAATTACTGTCCCAGTGCCTACTAAGGTAGAGGAACATTGCAGGGGCTTAATAAATGTTTCCCTCATGTTTTACATGAATGAAATCAGAATTCTGCTCTCAAGAAGCCTTTGGCCTTGCCCTACCTGGTTTGGCTCAGTGGATAGAGTGTTGGTCTGCTACTGCAGACTGAAGGGTCCCGGGTTCAATTCCGGTCAAGGGCACATGCCTGTGTTGTGGGCTCGATCTCCAGTGGGGGGCATGCAGGAAGCAGCTGATCAATAATTCTCTCACCACTGATGTTTCTTTCTCTCTCTTCCTTTCCCTTCCTCTCTGAAATCAATAAAAATATTTTTTAAAAGAATTATTTAGTTTCTTAGTGATCTACTTTTAGTTATCCCCCCATTTTAAGCACTATATCTACCTATTAGTATTACTATATAATAATATAACTCTATTACCAATAATCATCTGTACTAATACTTCTAAGAGCAGTTAGCATTTATATAGGTTCTTGGAGTTTATAAAGCTCTTTCCGCATGTAATATTTTATTTAATCTTGATGACAACACTATTATTATCTCTGTATTCCAGATAAGGAACTAGGCTTAGAGCAGTTTAATATCCAACGTCACCCAGATAAGTAAATGGAGGGTCTGGATTTGAGTGTGGGTTGGTTCTCCCCGTTCCCCCTTCCACCCTAACTTTTTGTAATGGAACTTTTCAAATATACACATGCACATGCACGCGTGCGTGCACATACACACACACACTCACACACAGAACAGTTTAATTCCTATGTACTCATCCAGCTTTAACCATTATCATTTCATGGCCAAACTTGTTTCATTCCCACCACACCTCATATTCACTGTCCACTTTCACTCTCTCCACCAGATTCTTGTGAAAACAAATCCTTGGTATCTTTATCATTTTATTCATAAATTTCAGTATATATCTGAACAATAAAGACTCTTTTAAAACAATCATAATACCATTATCATGTATAAAAAAATTTAGTTCAGGTGTTCTGATGTTCGACCCCACACTCTTTAACGAGATCATGCTGCTTACATTAGTCTAGCTCAGTGGTCGCCAAATGGTGGTCCATGAGGTCCGAAAGGTTGGCGACCGCTGGTCTAGCTGATTCTAGCCACCAAAGAAATGAGGGAGGGATGCCAAATGGGTCCAGTTCTAGATTGATGACTATAGCAGTTTTTACCTTTCTTCTTTTTGTCCAGAAATGTGGTATCTGGTATTTTAGTAGTTAAATTACTTTGGGTTCTGCTTTTCTTCTTCAAGTCTTTCTGTGTTTAGGCAACAATATCTGAATGGTGAGGAGTTCTTTACTTACAGTACTGTGCTAGTTGCTGTGGAGGATGTAAAACTATGAGACATGCTCTTTGTTCCTTAGGGGCTAGAAGTATAATTGGTAAGCCAAATAATATATGTAGCATATAGATAGTAAGGGCTAAAGTTACTTACTTGTTCATTTTTTTTCTTTCACTTAAAATGTTCTGGATATTAACTCTGTTCTTGGCCTTGTGCTTCGTATTGCTGATACAGAGATGAATAGGTGATACCTGATCTGAGTTTAGTTGGGTAGGTAAAACAATAAATGGCTAATAACAATACAGTGTTATAGGTGCTCTGAAATCTGGGATAGGTTATGATATGACCTCAAGAAGGTAATCATTTCTACTTGGGAGCATGACCTGGAAAGGCATTATGTAGTAGTAGTAGTGATGCTTGCAGTGAGTCTTAAAAAAACAGATTTTTGGCCAATTGGGAAATAGGAGGAAAGGTATTTTAGAGAGAAGGGGCAGTTGTGAGTAAAAACATGGAGATGTGGAAT